GAGCTGTAGGCCAAGTCCTCTGACGTACACACAGTTTGACCATTCTTACGCCGTAGAAGTTCGTAATCTGCCCATTACGGTGTTAAGCACGCGACCTACAGTCCCCCACAAAGCCACCGACGCCTACTTAAAAGTATAATGTTTGGTTCTGGGATCGGGGGTATCAGTGAGCTCAGGCCAAAAAAGCAGGGCTCTTCGATGTGTCGTCAGCTTGCTTCCGCCCCTTGTCAAATAGACAAGACGAAGGGGGAAACCATTTGTAGCAGACGCGTGTTCTTCCACCCGAGTATTCTTGAATGCTGGCTGAACGGGCGATGAGTGCAATCTGCCGCTCGCAACAACAGACCACTGTGCAGACCCATGTCTCGGAATAGACGCGTCGCGGTGAATGCAAGTGCTATCGCCGTCTGCACCGACTACCGACTTTAATCATAGATCCTATCTTTGGGAACAAATAAGTCGCCTTTTGCATATTTAACCACCTAGATACGGGACTGTTGCAAGACATCCGGTATGGAATAAACTGACTTCAGCTCGTTCCATGCGGTCCTCTCTGTCGGAAATAGTGAATAAGTAACAAGTGGTTGCCAAGGTGCCAAAAATCTATTAAAGCTGTTAAAGTGGACGTTGGGAGTGTTGCATGCCAAATCCAAAAATCGGAGTGTGCAGACCTATGTCTCGGACAAGACGCGTCGCAGTGAACGCAGGAACCGAATACCGAATTTGATCCTCTTTTTGGGAAAAAATAAGTTGCTTTTGGTATGTTTAACCACCTAGATACGGCACTGTCGCAAGGCGTCGGGCGTGCAGTAAAATGACTTGAGCTTATTTCGCCTGCCCCTCTCTAGAAGTTAGTAGATAATTAACGAGTAGTTGCCAAGGTGCTGAAAAGCTACTGTACAACAGTAAAAGTTGGGAGAACTTCATGCCAAATCCAAGAAGTGGAGGGTATGAAAAACGAACTCAAAGTGCCAATTGAATGACTTGACCGCTGGTCCTTGCTTTATGAAATGCCATTGACAACTGGCGACCCCCGTCAACTTACCAAAGCTGGTCACGTCAAACGCTCCCCATGCCAACCACTATTCCTCTCCTTCTTCTACAAGAAGCTCTCTTTTTAAACCTATATCACAAGCAGTCCTTTTTCCCCGTTTTAGCAAGTTGAAGAGCAAAACGAGGCCGCCGCGAAAGAAAAGCTCAGTGCATCATGAAATAAATTGCTTTTGTACAAACACCCTGCAAACTTGCCTTGATGCGGGAAGCGACAGTTTTTGGTCGTAGTAAAAAGCACGCGTCTGGTAACAAAGCGTTTATTTACATGGCAGCAGCAGCAGACCTTCATGCGTATCACTTGGTTTTTATTCGTTTGGCAGACAAGAGCTGGCCCTCGTCATTGTCATGGTTTGCCCCGCGCTGATCATCCG